TGGATAGTATCTTTTCGTTAGACCTCTCCAAAACTTTTTGGAGAGGTTTTGGCTTATTCAGCCTAGGTGTTGTATTGTTATGTTTTCCAGGATTGACCCTGATTTTATTGCGAGATGATCTTCTTTGTCTCATGTCACCATTTTTATTGCGAAATCTACTTTACATAATATTAGTATTGCCATTTCAACTGTTTACCCCTTGCATTCCCCGTCTTGTTCCATTTTTTAAATTTCAATTTCTACATATCTCTGCGTTTGAATTATGTAACCTGTAAGTAGCATATGGTTACATCGTGGTTTTTTTTCTTCTTTTTGGGTCACACCCAGCAATGCTCAGGGGTTACTCCTGGCTTTGCCCTCAGGAATTACTCCTGGCGGTGCTTGGGGCACCATAAGGGATGATTGAACCCAGGTGGGCCGCATACAAGGCTAACGCCCACTGTGCTATCTCTCCGGCCCTCTTGGTTCTTTTTTAATATGTTGATCTCTGACTTTAAATTGGAATGATCAGTGTATCTACTTTATTTTAGTTTTGGTTTGGGGCCCACACCCGAGGTGTTCAGAGGCTACTCCAAATGTGGGGCTTCGGGGATCCCTCCCAGCAGCGTCAGAGGGACTGCGCGGTCCAGGGACCACACCTGGGAACTGAAATGCAGTGGACACCGCCCTCCCGGTGTAGACACACCCCGAAGTGCGCACCACAGTCAGGGGCTCCAGACACGGGTGCGGGGTGTAGAGCCAACAGCGCGGACAACAACGCAGGGCAGAGACCCCTCCAGAGATGCCACTACTTGTCTATGTGCATAAGGGACCAGGATGCTGCCCCACGAGGCCGGGTAACTGACCTGATGTCCGTTAAGGCTCCGCGCTTGGCAGTTGTGCACGTGACATCACGCTGACTTTGAGGGGGGTAGGGGTAGGAAAGCCTTGAAGGATTCTGGGAGACGTTGGAGGGCGATCATACCGCGAGACTGGGCACGGGGCAGACTGCAAGTGGGCCCAGGAGCTCCTGCAAGAGAGCCAAGCAACGGACTGCTGAGGGTTCCTGGGAGCTCCGGCCCTTTCACGCGAGCCTCAGTGCTGGCCCTCAAAATCAGCGCTGGTGGAAGGAGTCCTCTCGATTTTAAAATGAGAAATGCCCGTCCCACGCAGCTATCGTGAGCGTTTTGGAGCGGGCTGAGGAAAAGACACTAGCCCCAAATGGGGACAATTACTATTATGATTTTTGGGCTCACTAGCAGTTGCAAAGGTCCCCTAAAAGAACAATCCTGGCAAAAAACTCTAGACCCTATAAACATTCTTAGAAAGCACATGTCTCTGACTGTATTCAGAGTTTCCCCCAAAGCATTTTTATACTTAGAGTATTACTGTGGAAAAACAGTATTTCTCTTACAGCATTTGTTTAACACTTGGAGTTTACTATGAATTCTCATGCAACTCGCTTTAAATTCATATTCTTGTTCTTGTTTTTTTTTTTTCAGGGACAAAACACTTTCTAAGTAGCAACACAAGTCCCTTCAAGACAATGTTCACTAGGAGGAATGCTCCAAATCATTCCCCTCTTCTCACAAACCCTACTTTCTGTAGTAGCTCTACTTCTGCAATATTCAAGAGGAGAAATGTCTGCCATGAGATTTGGTCAAGCTCCTCTGAATCTGAAACACCTCCCTGCCTGTATTCTTACTGCAAAACAAAAAACAAACCCACAAACATGCTTCCACATCATTGGACATCAATGATGGAAGTAGATGAAGGAGAAGATTAGAAGATGAAAGTAAGGATCAACAAGTCTCTTTAGGGGGCTGGAGCGATAGCACAGCAGGTAGGGCGTTTGCCTTGCACATGGCCGACCCAGGTTCGATTCCCAGCATCCCATATGGTTCCCCATGCACCGCGAGGAGTTATTCCTAAGTGCAGAGCCAGGGGTAAACCCTGTGCAATGCCCGGGTGTGACACAAAAAAGCAAAAAAAAAAAAACAAGTCTTTTTAAAGATTGCTACATAGATTCCATAAAGATAATATCACACACAATGATAATATGGATTCTAAAGAGCATGCATATGTGACGCCGTAAGGAAATACACTACACTTATTAAGGACTAGAGTGGCAATACAGGGGATAAGAGTCGACTTGCATATGACTGACTCTGGTTTAATCTCTGGCGCCATATGTTCCCAAGGTAATACAGGGAGTGATACTTGAGCACAGAGCCAGGTTTGCAATGCTGGAAATGACCCCAAAACAAACTAAATCGTGAAGAATTAACTAAATAACAAAAAAAAATCACTGAGAATATGAAGATGTGATTTCTCCTTCAAAGCTTTGGCTTCCTATGTGGATCAGAGATTATGTTCTGAATTTTACTAAGAAGAAGTAGACCTTGTTGAAGTAGGTCAACAGGGAGTGAGAATTTAAAGAGGTTTGAGGGCCACACAACTAGACTGGTACTAGATTGGTGAGTAAAACATTGAGGTACAGTGAAGAGCAAGTTAAACCTGTGTGCTGAGAATCTGGAAAGTTGCTAGAAGAGGCCATGTCAGCTGTGCTACCAACTGACCAGTTTGAAGGAAAGCTCTGGTTCTGGCCGTCCAATCAGAGCCCTTCACGGAATGTTTCCCCAGCCAGGCCCTCCTGGCCCTCCCCTCCCCCACGGTGGAATGTCTTGGGTCCGACATTCTGAGGTTTGAATTCAAACTTCACCCTCACCCACTTGGATCCTGAGCATCTGCGTGAGCAGTTAACTCTCTCATCCTGGTCCTGACTTTTGCCATTGTGAAGGCTGATAAGCTGCGGGGGCCCTGGCCTCATCTACATGAACGATGTCAGAAACAGGTAAGCCTGTGAGGGTGTACTTGTATGTGGTGTGTGTGTATTTGAGAGGAAGTCTCAACCAACCTTAGATCCTCGGGATTCAAAGGGTCACACTCACTGGGGACTCCATCTTGTGAAGTTGTAAGAAGGGATAGAGCCCTGGGCTACATGGATGTCTCACCTGTATATTGGGGAGAGCCCAGAAGAGCCTGAGCGGGTATTCAGGTTCGGAGATAATAACAATAATCATTATTATTTATAATTATTTGTTCTGTCCATGGAGGTGGGTCAGACTGACTCAGGGGAGAGTCAGAGTAAGGCAGCAGGCACATTGCTTCTTCATGTATGTGTCTGTGCATGATGGAGGGAATGGAGCAGTTTTTCATGTGTTTGTAGGAGTCTTGGTGGCTGAGTCATGATTTTAATGGTGACATAGGGAAGACCCAAGGATGCTGAGCCGCATGACATTGCCTCAACCCCACTGTGACTGTCTGAAGTATCTCAGCTAGGGTGAGCTAGACCTGATGGTGTGTAGTGTGTCCTGTGCCCATCACCGGGAGTGTGCAGTGTGTCCTGTGTGTCTGTCACTGGGAGTGTGTAGTGTGTCCTGTGTCTGTCACTTGGAGACCTGCTGGGGGCATCACAGCAGAGATGGTCTGAGCCAGAAAATGATTGAGACTGTTTGTGTCCAGTTCTGCCATGAAATGTCCTCTCCGGAGCCGGGGCCTGACTCTCACTCCTCCCTTGGCCCAGGCAGCTGTCCTGGGTGGGCAGGGCTGGCAGACAGGCAACTTCAGTCTAGTTAGTAGGACTTGAAATCCCGAGTTGCTCTGGATTGTTCTCCCTTTAGAGGAAATTCACTCTTCCTGTCTAGCATCTCGTGGTGCAGTCCCAGCCTGCGTTTCAGCACTGAGGGAAAGACTGATTGAATTTCACATTCTCCGTCACAGACAGGGAACGTGTGTGTGTGTGTTTGTGTGTGTATGTTTGTGTGTGTGTGTGTGTGAGAGAGAGAAAGAGAGAGAGAGAGACAGACAGACAGACAGAGAGAGAGAGAGACAGAGAGACAGGCAGACAGAGAGACAGCGACAGAGCCAGTGGGGCGTTGGGGGGCTGATTTTCCCAAGGAAACTCTGTGAAGGCCAATTTGTTAGAGAGCAGGTGGAGTGTAACAAGGCATAAAGACCATCTTCGGCAGTAGCAGGAATGTCAGGCCGCTGTCCTGACCATGATGTCCACAGGCTCTGGGTTCTCTCCTGCTACGCTCTCCTAGGCTCCTCAGCGCATGGATGGCTGCAGACGACATTGTCTCTCCTGGCAGCTGGCTGATGCCTGGTGTTTAGTGGCCCGTGTCTGTCCCTGGGAGCTTGTGGCAGGAGATCCACAGACAGTGTCACTTCATGTCCGATCTAACATGACAAGCAGTTCCAAGGAGTGTGATGGTGTATTCTCTGGCCTTTTCCATCCCTGCTGCCATCATGGGAACCCAGGGCCCCAGAACCACTTTACAGATCCCTCTCCTGTCAAGGGGACTTCTGAGGTCAGGAGTGACTCGGTGTCTGGGACAGTGTGGCAGTACCAGCCAGTGTGAAGAGTTTGCTGTGGGTCTGATAGCACAGGGCCGGGCAGTGAGTGGTGTGCACGTATCTGAGCCCTGGGCTCTTCCTGAGTAGGAAACATCCCCGAAGAGTCTCGTCTCCTTAGTCTGGGAAGCAGGAGGGTCAGCACTGAGCCCCAGAAACTGCCTCTCCCAGCACAGCGTTTTGGGCTCAGGGTCATGATGAATAAGAATCCAGCCGGCAGGTGAGGAATTCCACCTGGGGTCGGAGACCGAATGCTGAGGACACTGTGTGCTGCCCTGTGCCTTGTAAAAGGGCCTTAACAGGGACCATCAGGACTGATGGACACTGGGGAGTAGAGGGACACGGGCTGCTACGCCTGTACATTCTCCCTCTCATCCCTCCTTCCTTCCATTTCCACAGCGTCTCCAGTGCTGACCCCGGAGATGACCATGGACCTTGAAGGGTCTCTGGCTCTGCTTTCGGCGACTTCTTGCCCTTCCTCAATCCAGGACTCCCCCAGTCACCACCCTGGGAGCTGATCCAGACGCCCCCTCTGGTGACCTCGGCCATTGCTCCTCACAACCCTCTGGTGCTGTCACCTTTCCCCACAATGCCCGTGGTGGCAGGAACTGCTGGCCATGGCCCCTGCGACCCTGGACCTTGCAAGGTCATCATCCAGGTCAGTTCTGAAGGGAAGATTCTGGAGTCAGCCCAGAACCAGTCTGTCACCCAGACACAGGCTCCACCCAACCAGGGTGCAACAGAGGCTCCATCTGGGCATCCTGCACCCATCTACTTGGCATCCTCTGTGCCAAAGACCGTTACAACCACCCCAGCTACTACTGTCACCCAGTCTGGTATGGGAGACCATCTGCCTCATGCTCCACCACCAGACGCTCAGATAGTCCCCACTATATTCTTATCCTGTGGTGGGATACAGCCCCAGTGGTTTTGTGGGGACAGTGATCCAGTCCGTGCTTGGAGCCAGGCCCCTCCTGAAGCCTCGCGCAGGCCCAACAGTGTCTATGAGAACTTCCAGCGCTGGAAGCTTTTGAAGGCTCTGACCCGGAGGTACCTTCCCAGGACTCCTGACACTGAAGTCCTTTCTTGCTTCCTCATGTGAGTCTTTCAGTGGTCATCGGGTTCATGGAGCTTCCCAGGAGGGGACTGGGGTGACCCCCAGGGTAGGGTCCATGGGACAGATGTTCTCAGGGATGCCATCCCGGGATTCTGGCTCAGGAGCCCGTAGTGACCAGCCATGTCCGAAAGCCTCACCTCAGTCATCTCATCAGGGTTGGTCCTGATATGTGGTCTGAGGGACAGACATTCTGTTCCTAAGACCAGACACAGCACAGATGCGCCAGGGTTCAGACAGGCCGTGACTTCTCGGCCTTGGCATCCCATGACATATCCCCAGAGCTGAGGGTATACGCCAGTACAGCCACCAGGGTAGGGTGTGGTATGCAGAGTCTACTCTGGGAGGGGAGACCAGGCCACCATTGGGGGTCATGGAAGTCAAGGTATGGGTGTGGGGCAGTGTGGGCTCCTGGCAGATGCAGACCCTGACCAAGCCTGTCCTTGCAGCCCGGTGTTTCGCACTCTGGCCCGCCTGAAGCCCACCATGAGCCTGGAGGAAGGCCTGCGCCTGGCCCTTCGGGAATGGCGGGGCACGAGCAACTATGACCGCATGATCTACTCCGACATGGCGGCCAAGTGAGTCAGGCCTGGGCAGAGAGTGGGGGTCAGGGTGGCTGCAGGCCCGAGCTTCAGGGGCTGCTCCCAGATGGCCGAGGGGCAGGGAGGGCTAGGCAGCCCCAGGAGACCCTTCCCCTGCAGAAACTTGTTCCTCCCGGAGCCGGGACACTTTTCCCCAGCCCACTCTGGGGCTCCTGACCACAGTCTGAGGGTCACAGTCCCTGACCTGCTGTGACCCTCCAGGGCCAATGTGGGGGATCGCTGGGGGTGCTGGGATCCGTGTCCACCCCATTCTCTACCCTCCTGGGGACTGGGCCATGAGCATCCCCTGTCCCTTACTCATCCTGCTCAGTCCCGTTCAACCCGACTCATCACGGCCTGTGTTCCCCACACCAGGTTCATGGAGTTTGAGGCCGAGGAGGAGATGGACGTGCAGAAACTGCAGTGGACGAACGGAGCGCAGGGCCTGCCACTCCCCGCCCCACCCAGGCCTGGGTCTCAGGGGACTCCAGGCCCACCGCCAGACCAGCAGACAGGTACGGACCCTGCTCCCAGCTAAGGGCCACAGGACCTGGGAAGGCCCTCGTGGGTCTTGACCTGCTAAGGAGCCTTCACTCTCCCGATGACCCCCAGACCTGTGCTCAGCGGCCCCCTGTTCACGGGTTTCTCCCTCTCCTAGCACATCCCATGCTGCCTCAGGCGTCAGACTCATCTTTGAAGTGGGGTCGGAGACCCTGGGGACACAGTTGGTCCCTCCTCCCATTGAGGGCCACCTCATCCCTCACGCAGCCACTGGATTCCAGGGCCCTGATCCAGCCCACTGGGACCTGTCCCCAACTCTGTGCTCAGTGCTGTGCGTCTGAGGGCATGGACGCGGGGTCCCCTCACATCCCTCTCTTCTTCCTTCCTCCTCAGCCTGTGTCCCCAAGAAGGCCAGACCCCAGGCCCAGGCAGCTCGCCCCAAGACACACAAACCTCAGCAGCCCCCCAAGTCCAAGGCCCCCGAGGAGATCCCTCCTGAGGCCGTGCAGGAGTACATGGACATCATGGACGAGCTGCTAAAGGCCCCCGACTCAGTCTGCAGGGCGCCCCTCGGCCGACGGGCATTGGACAGGGAGGAGCAGCAGGAGGAGCCTGGGACCTACCCTGACCCGGGGCTCTTGAGCTATGTGTACGAGCTGTGCTCCCAGGAGGACTTTGTCACCAAGGTGGGGGATTGGGTGCTGCTGTGGGGTAGGGAGGGTGCAGGGCTGCTTCTATCCAGGGCATGGCAGTGATGTGCAGTCTTTGCTTTGAGCTCTCTGTGTAAATGCACACCTGTGTTTGCATATTTCTGCTTGTGTTTGTACGCATGTGTGCACATGTCTCTCTCTGAACACAAGCAGTGGCCCTTGTTTGTGCATTTCTGAGTTTGGTCAATGTGTGAATATCTCTGTGTGTCTACATTTGTGTGTAATGTGTGGGCGCAGTGCAGACACGTGCAGAATCATGTATATGTACCTAGAGGTGGAAGAGAGTGTATCATTTGTATCAGGTGTGTGCTTGAATCCATGTGTGCTCACATGTGCTACTCTGTGAGAGTAGGTATATAGTCCGTGTGCCTTTGTGAGTGCGGGTGTGTACATGTCTGTGTGTGTGTGTGTGTGTGTGTGTGTGTGTGTGTGTGAGCATTCCCGGCTTGTGTCTGTGTGAGACTGTGCAGCCGTCCAAGCCTGTGCAGCCTTCTAAGCCCCTGAACTGTGCTGGGGACAGGAGTGTTTGCTTCCTCATTCCCTCCTGTTCCCTATGAGGACCCTCACCCCTGCTTCCCTCTCCCAGGTTGAAGCGATCCTTCATCCCAGCTTCCTGGAGCTCCTGCTCTGCCCAGAGTCCCAGCTGGATCTCCTGGACCTGGCTGAGGAGCTGGAGAAGGAGGAAGGACTCACCCCCACACAGGTGAGGGCAAGTGGACCTCTGCAGGTTTGTGTCAGGGACCGGGGCTTTCAGGTAAGGAGGTGAGCAAGGACCCTGGGCAAACAAAAAGGAGTTTTCTGGGTTGGTTCGGGGAAGGAGACTCTATTGGGAGACGGTGACTAAGCCTGGGAACTCAGATAAGCGGGGCTGCATGGGTCAAGGAAGGGCGCCCCAGAAGCGAGTCCCAGCAAGTGCGATGCCCCCCATGCCCCCTTCATGTGAGGCTTCAGGGACAAAAGGACATGAATACTGGGTGAAGTGAGGATGATGGACGGTGAGAAGGCTCTCAGGGAGTCACAGAGCTCAAGTATCTTCTGCTGAGAGGAGTAGGAGTCACTCTCTGTCCCACCCTGCACCCCCACATGCCCACACTGTCCCTTCTCCCCCCAGATTGTGGACAAGCGTCTGCAGGCCTCAAAGGCTAAGGAGGTCATGAAGGCTTGTCCCCAACACCAGGTGACAATAAAAGACTCCTGCCCCCCTGAGACTGACTCTGGACATGCCTCATGGCCTGGGCAGGCCGAGGCCACTGTGATGGCACCTGGAGCCTCTGCCCCCTCTCTGGGGAGACTGCAGTCCCCACCCCTGCAGGCAGGACCAGCTCCCTGTCCCAGCCTCACTGCCCCCACTCTGGACAGCAGGCCTCCCCGCATGCTGGGAGAGGCCCCTCCTGGCCGGGGGTCGCTTGGGGCAGCAGAGGGCTCCAGTGAGGAGAAAGAGAAACTGACCAGCCAGGTCTTCCTCCAAGCCTCTCACAACAGCCTGCTGCCCTGGGGCTTACCCAAGAGCCCTGGCCATGACACTGGCCCCGACACTGGCCCCCACCTGCCTGGACGTCAGGGGTATCCCGAGCTTCCATCCACTCGTACAAGGGCCTTCAAGTCTAAGGCCCCTACCAGGAAGCATCCTCTGTGTGGGGGCCCAAGGCGGCGCACTGCTAAGAAGACCCCCTGTCCCAGGGGGCACCCCACGGTGTCTACTGGCTCAGCCTTGACTGTGGAGCTGGAGGGCCTGCCCCCCAAGAGAAAGTGCCAGCCTGCCATGGCCCAGAGGAGTGGGAGGGGGCACAAGAGACAGTAGGATATCGGGGGGCTCCTCCTGACCACCTCCCAGGGTCTGGCTGCACCCAGAAGCCTTGTGTTCCCCATGATCTTCAGCTAAGACTGCTCTGGAATGGGGGGGGCTGTACCTAGAATGGGGGGTTTGACTGGAGCAGCCTCTTTGTGTCATTGTGTAAATAGTGAATAAAATTCAGTTCATTGGAAACATCTCAGTGTCTGTCCTCTCACTTGTGCTCCTTGGGAGGCCTGAGAGCACAAAGGGTGAGGGGAATCACAGGGGAGGGGGGAACCCTGAGAGTACTGTGCTCCCTGGACAGTGGAGGAGTCCTTCCCATCTGGAGGAAGATGTGCTCAGTCACCTGCAGGCCCACACCATCCTGAGGGCATAGACAAGGCTCACATCTTGCTGCATTAGCCTGGACCAAATAAAAAATTAAAGCTCATTGGGTATTTGCATATCATATTCTTCACTCACATAAAATGTACAATGCTTTGATTTGACATTATAGAATTTAAATGTTTTTGTAACCAGACATATTTGAACATTTGCCATCACTCTTAAAAAAATATGTGGGAGGGATAGTACAGCAGATATGTCGCTTGCCTTGCCCATAGCCAATTCCCAGCACCCCATATAGCCCCCACACTGTGATAAATGAGTCTGTTCCGAGATCCAGGAGTAAGATGTGAGTAAACCAGGTGTACCCCCAAAACCAAATAATCATATAAAAATAATAAAGGGGGCCGATTTAATGTACTGATTTAATTGTTAAGTGTTTTACCATTTAAATATGGTCCTGGTACCTGTAGAGAAGGTGTTTGAGAACCATTCTTCATTTTCAGTGACAAGATATTTGAAACTCAGGACCTTAGAGATTCTCAGGGAATTAGACTACTAGTTTTTAAAAACTAGTTACAACTCTAATTATTGAGAAACAGTAGGAAAACAACTCTTCAGTGTTAAACATTTTAATTCTTTGCACTTATCACTATTAACGGGCTGGAGCAATAGCACAGTGGGTAAGGCGTTTACCTTGTAGGCGGCCAACATGGCTGACCCGGGTTCTATTCCTCCGCCCCTCTCAGAGAACCCAGCAAGCTACCAAGAGAATCTCGCCCACTGGGCAAAGCCTAGTAAGCTCCCCATGACGTATTCAATATGCCAAAAACAGTAACAACAAGTCTCACAATTTGTTGTGAGACATTACTGGTGCCCGCTTGAGTGAATCGATGAACAACGGGAGGACAGTGCTACTATTAATGAGGGCTGGAGCAATAGCACAGCGGGTAGGGTGTTTGCCTTGCATACAGCAGACCCAGGTTCGATTCCTCCGCCCCTAGTAGAGCCCGGCAAGCTACCGACAGTATTTCGCCCACATGGCAGAGCCTGGCAAGCTCCCCGTGGCATATTCGATATGCCAAACACAGTAACAATAAGTCTCACATTTGTTGTGAGACATTACTGGTGTCTGCTCATGCAAATCGATGAACAACGGGAGGACAGTGCTACGGTGCTATTACTAATGAAAAGTTAAGCATAAAATGTGTTTCTTAAAATATTTAGTGAATTTGAATTCACGTAAAATTACATTACAGAGAGAGAAGGGACGAACTAGAAATGACAAAAAGGCAGTGGCAGAGGTGTTTGGACACGTTAGTGGGGATGAAAGTGAATAACATGCACCCCCCAAACAGAATTATTAAAACAATTTGGGGGCAGTTGGGTCACACCCAGAAGTGCTCAGGCTCCTCATGGCTCTGTACTGAGGAGTCACTCTTTGTTTCTGTTTGTTTATTTGTTTGTTTTCTGTTTTAAGGAGAGGAAGCTTTTTGGGTCTCACACGGCCATGCACAGGGGTTACTCCTGGCTCTGCACTCAGGAATCACTCCTGGTGGTGCTCAGGTGACCATACGAAATTCTGGGAATCGAACCCGGGTTGGCAAACGCCCTACCCGCTGTGCTATTGCTCCAGCCCTGCTGAGGAGTCACTCTTCACTGCTCCAGTGAACATACGCTGTCCCGGGGACCAAACTTGTGAGCTTACCCTGCACTGCTGCTAAACCCTGGCAGACGTCTGGGGCCTCCTGGGGCCTTATTGCCTCAGAAGGTGCCCGTCTGCTGTTCCATACAGGACTGCCCCTCTGCGGGTGCTGCGCCTGGGCAGAGGCCGGGGCACCTCGGCTGTGCTCCCCTGTAAGGCTATGTTGGCTGCTGGCCCTGCAGGAGGACAGGACACCCCCCTGAAAGTGGTTCTGGGCTGGGCGTGTGTCTGGCAGCACATGGCCTTTGCGCCCCTCAGTATGCATGTGCAGCCATTGGGCTGGTTTCAGGGTCTCTCTTGGGGTTGGTGGGGGGGGGTCTTCCCAAGGAATGCTCAGGAGGTCTGGGGGCACCATGAGGGATTCTTTATATTTTTAAAACATTCGGTACCATGATTTCTAATGCTACTGCGATAGGGTTTCATGGACAGAGTGTCTCTCCACCACACCAGCACCAGAGTGCCCACCGCCCTCTGCTACAGTGATGGAGGTCCATGAACACAGTGTCCTACACACCAGCACCAGAGCACCCACTGCCCACTACCGACTGCTACAGTGATAGGGGACCATGGACACAGTGTCCTACACACCAGCACCAGAGCACCCACTGCCCACTACCCACTGCTACAGTAATAGGGGACCATGGACAGTGTCCTACACACCAGCACAAGAGCGCCTGTCTGTCTGTCTGTCTGTCTCCCCCCACCCCCTCTCACTTCCCTTTTAGGCAGTGTGGTTTGCAATACTGTTACTGAAAGGGTATCATGAGTATCCCTTTACCTCCTTTCAGCACTGCCCACTGCTACAGTGGTAGGGGTCCATGGACACAGTGTCCCTTCACCACACCAGCACCAGAGTGCCCACTGCCCTCCCCAGCCATGGCTCCAGTCCCCTCTCCCCCAGACCATCTTCCCCTGCAACCCAGGAAACTCCACTCTCTAAACTCTTCCTTAGTTTTTATTGTCTCTGGCATTTATTATTTCCTTATTACAACTCTTTATATGCCACATCTGAGGGATAGATCTGTGCACACCTATGTAAACTTCATCACTGGCATTTCTTGGCCAATTCAATGGCAATTCAGTGCCAGGGTGCCTCCAGGGCTGCAGCCAATGATGCATGCTGAACATGCCCCCAGACAGCTCTAAGAGCTCCCAGACCCATGGAGGTCAGTTCTTTCAAAGGGGTGATTAACAGGAAAGAGATCACTGACATATACCCAAACCCAACAGGACTGGTGTCCTGATGAGAAGAGACACGGACTCACACAGAGGCACCCACACATGAAGTGGAGAGGCCTCGGGTGCGATCAGCCCTGCTGCCCCAGCATCTCAGACCTCCAGGTTCCAGAGATGTCTCCATCATTTGCGTTATGGGCCTGTCCTATTGTTTCTGAGAGACGGCAGAGATTGATCATCATCTGGGAAGATATGCTCACCTTTGACACAGAGGAGAGTCTACCAACGTGGACACAGACAACTCTTTCAGCAGGTGCCCAGTGGCCTCAGTGGCCTGCCCTCCTGCCAGTCCTTGGGACAGTCACAGATGGAAATGAATCAATCATGCAGTCAACCTCGGCCATTGGCCCAGGACCTTGTACTAACTCAGCATCAGAAGTGATGGTCAATGAATAAGTGCCGAGAGACTGAGCCTGTGAGAGGCTCTGGGTGTCTGAAGCCTCTACAGACCCTACGATTTTCAGAAAGGTATGTACAGCAGTATGCACCACCCAGAATCCTTCCTCTCAGTCACTTCAGCCTCTGGGTTTCTCAAAAATGTTCAGACTCTTTGGAAAATGCTCCTACCTAGGTGTGGTGCAGAAACCCTATACTGCTGGGGCGGGGGAGGGGGGGCGTCGTCACCACAAAGTGTCCTGAAATCCTCTCAGGGAAAACCAGTGTGGGCCGAAGCCCTCTTACTGCATCAAACGGAAAGGCTCTTCTAGGCAGGGGAGTTGGGGAGCAGGAACTGTAGCTCTGAGGCTCCTCTAACCTCACTGCAGACAAATGCTCCCTGAGTACCCTTGTGTGATTCCTAGTACTGGAGCTTTAAGGCACACAGGCACATACAGAGAAGACCAGAAACCCCTCTCAGATTGACACGTGCAATCAAATCTCATAAGAGATGGGAGCTGTCTAGAAGGGAGGGGCGTTGCTCATGGCTGGCGGCAGAAGGCTTTGCTGAGCTGGGATTCCAAGCAAGAAACTGAAAATGACCTTGTGATCCTGGAGTCAAGGGAGCAGAGGGTACAAAGAGGAGGGTCCAGTGTGGTAGGAAAAGCAGAAGCAATGTGGGGAGCAAGGAAGGCAGTTAGGGATTATACTGGTCAGCCAACCATGGAGAACTAGATCTGCA